TCCAACTCTACACCTTGTTATCTCACCTTTTTAACTATCCTGTCCATATGTGATGCAGGCTTCAAAGAATTATGTATCTGAACTCCTAGGTCTCTCTGTTTGACAAGACTACCCAAAGCCCTGCCTTTAGTTGTATAAGTCCGGCCCTTGTCTGTTTTGCCAAAATGTAACACCTCGCATTGATCCAAATTAAACTCCGTCTGCCACTCCTCAGCCCATCAACCCAATCAATCAAGATCTCTTTGTAATCTTAGGAAACCTTCACTGTCCACTACACCACCAATTTTGGTGTCATCCACAAACTTACCAACCATGCTTTTTATATTCTCATCTAAATCATTTATATCAATGACAAACAAAAGAGGACTCAGCACGGATTGCTGTGAAACACCACTGTTCACAGGCCTCCAGTCTGAAAAACAATCCTCCACCATCATACTCTGTATCCTACCATAAAGTCAAGTTTGTATCCAACTGGCAAGTTCTCCCTGAGTTGCGTATGATCCATCTTTACTAATTAGTCTACCACGTGGAACCTTGTCAAAGGTTTCACTAAAGTCCAAGTAAACAATGTTTACTGCTCTGCTCACAGCCTGGCAGTGTTTGGTGAAGAGAGAAACAAGAGTTCACATTGTGACCTGTGGCCTTTCGCACAGAGCTCACTTTCTCTCCTCACAGATGCTGGCTAGTCCAATGAGTGTTTTCAACATTTTCTGTTTGTATTACAGATCTCCAGTATCTGCCCAATTCCCAAATTCGAGTAACTTGCTGTGATTTTCCTGATCTTGGGCCCAGTTGGACAGACACTGCCCGAATGTCAAGTTGCAGATTTCCATTGAACCATCTGCACTGCCAGACAGAGAATGACCTCAATTTGTCTGACCTCAGTAACAAAGTACAAATATGTTTTATCAGTGGCATCTGATGTTTGCTCCTTACCTACAATGAGACCTGTGTATCCAACTGTGGGGTCATAAGGACATCTCTCTTTCCCCTCAAAGGTAGGTGACAATGTAAAATTCTCAATCTCCTTAATAATGGGGAGAGGGGAAAAATTAGGTCAAAGTTGTAAAGGAATCTGCAGAAGATATGCAATACAGGAGAATGGTTTTAATATCAGTGCCAGCAACAAAGGAATACTTACGACATAAGCACAGCGAGGATGAAATGCATATGTCCCACAGGTATATAAGTGAGTCCCATTGAATCTTTGCAGAAAGCGGACATAGTTAAAACAGTCAGTCTGCAAACAGAACACATTAGTTTACAATTAAATCCTTTCACCTTAAATCTCCGAAACACTCACTCAAATCTATCCACAGCAATAATTTGCACTTCACTGAGGGGTTATCACACCGATAGAATTTGGCACCAAGCTATATTTCAGACACAGTGATCCATAATGACCCATGGATGGCTCAGTGGTTAGCACTGCTGTGTCACAGCACTGGGGTCCTGGGTTCAATTCCACCCTCAGGTGACTGTGTGGAGTTTACACATTCTCTCCAGTTTCCTCCCACAATCTAAAGACGTGCAGGTTAAGATGGATTGACCGTGGTAAAAGCAGAATTAGAGGGAGGGGTGGGATGGCCTCCTTTGGAGGGTCTGTGAGGACTTAATGGGCCAAATAGCCCGCTTCCACAGTGCAGAGGTTCTATTATCCCAGTCGGATAACTCATGGTCCTCACTTTAAAGGAGGAAAGTGAAGTTGGGAGAGAATTCCAGAATCTAGGACCTGTTACTTAAAGAGATGGCTATCAGTAGTGGGGGTGATTAAAATGGGAGATGAGTTGAGGATGGAATTGGAAGACCATATCATAGAGAGATGGGGGGAGCTCTAAAAAATAGGGAGGGGGTAAGGAACATGGAGAAACCTGAAAACAAGGACAAGCATATTAAAGCCTGGGGTGAGGTGGAGCTGGTATAGAGCAGCGAGGTTAATGGGATTCGGTGTGAGTTAGGACATGGGTTTGGATGGGTTCAGTCCATTAGCCTTACCTCAGTATAACCTCGCTTCTCCAGGCAATCGATTCTTTTTGCTGGCAGCACTTCCCAGTTTATCTGTTAACGAGACAAGAGTTTAAATAAACATTCAGGCCTGTGCAGAAATAAATAAAAGGCAGCGCTCATAGTCAGAGCTGGCAGAGGGACAGGGATGGATCTCAGCTCTGTTCCCCATCATGGCCCACAGCCCACCCTGGGAGCTCGGGGATTCTGGGACCTCCCAGCTCACTAATACCGAACCATTGAGCGACTCAGTCCAGGTAAATGCTGCATTTACAAGTAAAGAAGCTCCTACTGTGTTTTTGTGAAGGATGGCCTGTTCAGTGAGTGGATTTGCACTGGCCTGCAGGAGAAAGGAGATGTAAATGCACCCACCCTACCGCCCAGCCCAGCAAGGTGCCTTCCACTGACCCGGCTGGAGCCGAAATGGAGGAGAACGTGGCATTTGACCTTCCTGACCTTGTGTGAAAGAGATTCTCTCCCAATGACCCCAAAATCCAATCAGGCCCAGGCCACAACAAACACAACCACATCCTGCATGTTGATGATCGCAGTATTTTCCCAGCTACGTTTGTACACCAGGTAACAGCCTAGTGATATATCACTGGATTATTAATCCTGAGGCCCAACTGATGTTCTGGGGACCCAGGTTAAAATGGTGGAATTTGAAAATGAAGACATCCACCATTAAGAGTCTAATGATGGCCATGAAACCATTGCAATTGTCATTTAAAAAAACCCCATCTGGTTCACAAATGTCCTTTAGGGAAGGAAAGCTTACCTGGTCTGGTCTACATGTGACTCCAGACCCACTGCAATGTGGAACGGGCAAGTAAATGCTGGCCGAGCCAGCGACTGAATTAAAAACAAAGTTTGTTTTCCCTCCCCACAGACAATGAAGGCCCCACGATTAGGCCTGAGCAGTAGCAGCTCTCGTTAGGTTACCCCCATCATCCTCTATTGTGGCTTCTCTCCCCATCTCTGCTTAAATTCTCCCAATGCTGACTGGCACCCTCAGGCCCCTCGTGGTCAGCTGCTCCAAGTATCAGAGTGGTCCTGAACAACTCCAACAGGTCCCTGAAACCCTCCCAACTCACACCGCGCCCTCACCCCTGGCCAGGTTTTGAAAGGCAGAGACTGAGGTGATTCTCATTATATGGGGCCCGCTAGCTCACTCTGACCCCTGGCCAATCCTGGGCTATGCCCTGAGAAGGAGAGGCCTTCCATCTATTGGCCACTTAAGTTCCTCCAATTGGGCCATGTGCGGTCAGGCTGAGGTCTGTGAGTCATTGAAGGAGGTGCTATTCCACCTGATTTTACCCCAGCAGCTCCCGGGGACAGGGCTAAAATATAAAACTCTGACCCTGGTCTTTAACGTGTGTGTTTTCCACACCGTTCACAGTTAATGCTGCATGAATGCTATCTTGGAATCTCCACAATGTAGACTGAATGGTTTTCAGCCATAAGATCCTGGGCACTGTCACACTCATATTGACTGTAATGGTCCCATTGGGACTCCCTCCCAGTTCTGAAGTTGGATATATTTATGGCATCAGCCAGGACCAAAATGACGTGACACACATAACTCCAACTACTTGAAACATAAGTGCGAGCTCAGGAATTTATAACAGGGTGTATACGGGCAGAATGGACTGCCATAAAATGCAGCCCTGCTCCCTGACCCTCATTCATCCAAACATTGGGCTTTGGTCCACTCCCCCCAACAATATAATCGCCCCCAACCTCCCAGCGCACCCACTTCCTGAGGTGACCTCACCGTTCACCTGTGGAACTCACTGCATGAGTGCAGCCAAGTGCTAAACAACAAAATGGTGGCCTTAGAAAGGGAAATGTGACCGATGCTCCATGTGCTGGGCTATGGGTCGGGAACAGGGAGAATGGGGCTAAGGGAATCGGCTCTCCCTGCGAGCCAGTACGGGCATGATGGGCTGAACGTCCCCCTTCACAATCCCACGCTCCTCACCGTTTTCGCGGAGCTGTCGTTGATGTTGCTTATGTTGAGGGCAAAAATGGCTCCTCGTGCTCCAACGTAAAGCCAACCCAGAGCCTCCTCCAGCCACAGTGTGGTATAGTTGGACACGCTGTGACTAAATCGCTTGGAATTAGGTGAATCTACAAAGAGATAAAAGATGTGTTTGGAAGATTAATTTTCAGTGCATGTCAGGAGAAGGAACAGCAGTGGCTAAAGAGTTTGTTCAAAGACTAACACCTTCACAGCACTGAACGCGTCACAACTAAGATCTCCGCAACACAGGGACTGAAGAGTCCAGGACAACCCTCAAGTTAGGTCACAGCTGATACAACCCTTGCCTATCAAAACGTACAGATTTCAGCTTTGAATCTATTTCTGAGTGTTGTACCAGACAAGGCTTCCAATGGTGAAATCATGGACAGGTCCCTTCAGTGACATGGAGCAACGGGAGGATTCGTGAAGGCATCACATTTGGGAGAAAGGACTAGACAGAGTAATCGAGGTTGATGGATCCACCAATCTTGCTCTCTTCCCAATGTAGAGTCAGGGCTGATGGAAGCTCAAGATGGAAAAGCAATGTCTGATCTTTGGAAGGGACTATCTTCAAGGTTCAGCTCTCTGGTGAAAAGGCAGAATCAGCTCTTCATCGGAACATGACGCCGTGTTGTGTGAATGGGAGAAAGGAAGGGAGAAAAACTGAAGAAAAAGGATTGACAAGTTAAAAAAAACTGATTCGTGCATTGATCAAGGAAGGGATAGATAGGATGGAGAAAGGGATGGAGAATGGGAGGGAGGGAAGGATGGAGAAAGTGAGGGAGGGAAGGATGGAGAAAGGGGTGGAGGGAAGGAGGGAGGGGATTAGAGCCAATGAACTTCACTTTGTGAAGTGGACTCTCTGTTGTCAGGTAGCAAAAGCAGCAATTAGTATGTGCACAGCAAGATCCCACAAACAGCAATGGATAATGAGCAGATCACCTGTTCTTGTTATGTTCAACTGAAGGGTAATTATCATTAGCCAGGGATAACACCCCTGCTGTTCTTCAAAACAGTGACATGGCATCGTCCATGTTCACCCAAACAAGTGGATGGGCCCTGTTTAATAACATCTGATCTTGGAATTTGAACAAGGGTTTAAAATGAGCTATATTTTGGAATTTATTTCAATTGTTTCTGAAGCCAAACGAGGGGGTAAAAGCCTCAGTTGGATGCCCTGTGGCATTCTGTGAAAAAGTGAAAGAATGCTAATGCTTCTTCGATGAGCTGTCAATCAGAATTGCTTTCCCAATCCTGACAAACAATTGTGAGGGGATGAATGGTAATGCAGAGAAACACAATATTTTTCAAAGTCTGTTCTCAATTCTTCTCGAACATTTCCAATTGATAATACAGTGGAAAGCAAATGGGAGCATTTCAGTATATCATAGATCCCCTTCAGTGTGGAAACAGGCCCTTCGGCCCAACAAGTCCACACTGACCTACAGAGCATCCCACCCAGACCCATCCCCCTATAATCCATCTAATCTACACCTCCCTGAACACTACAGGCAATTTAGTATGGCCAATCCACCTAGCCTGCACATCTTTGGGCTAAGGGAGGAAACCAGAGCACCCAGAGGAAACCCACGCAGACACGGGTGAATGTGCAAACTCCACATAGACAATTGCCCGAGGGTGGCATTGAACCTGGGTCCCTAGCGCTGTGAGGCAGCAGTGCTAACCACTGTGCCACCATGCCATTCCAACCCAATAATCTTCAGGAAGATTGCCGAGCAGAGAGGCATCCTGTATACACCAGGGCACATGCAAGAATATCAAGTCCCAAACAATCACAACCGCTTCATATGACAGGGAAATAGGTGCTGATTTGTTGACAATTGAACCCTGATTGGTGGAGACATTGCCATGGTGAGAACAAACAGACGACACAAGTTCCCGAGGAATTGAGAGAAGGTACAGGGCTTGAGCATATTCTGTTTTTCAATAAAATGGGCCCCTGTGTACGAGTAGCAGCTACTTTTGGAAAGTCTAAGTAAGCCACCTCATGATTCTCCTACACTGGGTTTTAGCGAGGCTAATATCGCACTCAGAATCGTTCGGCAAATGTTGGTCATTCGGGGAATCACAATCAACAGCAAATGTTTGGTTCTGAGTTCTGAGTCCACAAGATGGACTGATTGAACATGGCCTATATGCTGCCTATTATTAGTAACTAAGGGACAGTTCTGCTTGATTCATACAGCCAATCTTTGGAACACATGGTCTAGCTATGTGACACTGAAATTCACCTACAACATTGCTCAAACCTTCAGGGGACATCCAATGCCACATGCCACAGAGGATTAGATAGGGTGGACAGTGGCAGCCTTTTTCCTCGGATGGTGATGGCTAGCACGAGGGGACATAGCTT